AAGCCCAAAAGCTTGATCTGGCTCGCGTGGCCCTCAACAGAGTCAAGCTCATGGAGGGCGAGGTGTCTGAAATCGAGCAGCATTTGGCATCCAATCCAGACGACGAGTAGCGCCCCCCCCTCCAACTGCCATATGCACATGCGAACAGAGCTCGATGTGATTGTATTATGAGAAGATATCACCCAGAGCAAGCGGACAAGTGGAAAGCCGGACCCATACCCGAGCCATTCAAATGAGCATGGGAATGCAGATCCACTTGAATGTTTATTGGTACAGAGGGGAGATCGACACCGGTGTGCCGACTACTGTTTCCTGGGAATACGATCGGGCTGGCGCTTGACCGTTCTGCGGGCGCCTTCGGTTCGGTTGCGCGACCCGACTTTCGAGAGCGGAGAGCGGCGAGCGGATCGCTTGCGGTTGGCAAGGGGGATGTTTTCTTCGTCTTCGCTGCAAGGCTCGCTGTCGGGTTGGTCGGCTGCTGGTTTGAGGGGGCTTGCAGCAGGCTTGTCGGGGCTGTCAAGTCCGCCAAGCTTGGCAAGGTCGTTTGCTTGAGTGTCAGCAGCGAGCGAATGCCCATGGTCTTTTGTACGGATGACTGTACTCGAAGTGGGGCGGCGCTGGCTGCTGGAGGATCGAACAGGCGATGCTCGCTTGGGAGCTCGCGCGGCTTTGGCAGAGGGCACGACAGATCGCATGGGGGAACTTGTTGCAGATCTAGTAGGCAGTGGGCACCGGAGAGAGATCTTGAGAACAGCGCCGAACGGCTCAAAGTCAGCGCCAGAGAGGAATGGGAGACAGCCGCCAGGACTGTGCAGCCCGTGGACCTCGCAGCGGGCAGCGCAGTTCCGATATAGCGTCCGATACAGCGTCTGATACAGCGTCTGATACAGCGTCCGAGTGCCCCCCCCCGACCCGGTGCCCTGCGGCCATCGGACCTCGGCGCTGGGCCAGATGCATTTCGATTCATGATCGTCTGCCATCCACTGGATTTCTCTGGTCGTGCACTGGCCACCATACTGCATATCACGGATCTGCACTTCTGGTGGCCGCCATCGCATCTACACCTCCAAAGATCGCACATTCGCAGATTGATGGATGTGTGTGTGTATTGATGCAGGTCGAAGCAAAGTGCATGGAAGCAGAGAATACGCAGCGATGGCTGAGCCAGCCCAGCGTTGTGCATGGCAGCAGCAGCCGCGGTTGGATGCGGAGAGAAGGACAGGCCAGTCTCGCCATAGCCAGCCAAAGCCAGCCAAAGCCAGCCAAATCAGGCCAACGCCAGCCAACGCCAAGGCACTGGCTGATTATTTGGCAGAGTCGAGCTGGTCGGCCAAAATACCGATAAGCATACCCTCTGGCTTGCGGTTTCCGCCCACTTCGTGCAGAATGCACGAGTTGGGAATGTGCTTGTCCCGCAGCCAGGTGCGCACACGCTTGGTCTTGGTGTCGACGACAAAGTCCCAGGGATGCATGTTTCGGAGCCGAGTGAACAGGTCCTGATAGACATCCAGGGAAACCAGGGGACGAGGATCCTCGCCGTGCTGGGGCCGTTCGCCGCGCTCCGTGTTGAGCACCCGAGGGAGGCCGTCTGGGCGGCCGTGCCAGAACACAGATTTCTTGACGACAGCGCTGGTCAGAAGACGCTGCTCCATGGCGCACTCGCTGTTGTAGAGGGTCTTGATCATGCCTCGGACGAGGCCGGCCGGGCCCATCAAGGCGCCAGACTTGACGTACTTGTAGGGCGTGTCTCCCCGCTTCCGAGTGATCTCGGGCTTGATGGGCGGGTATTTGTTCCAGAGTTGGCCGTCGGGCCAGCAATGCTCCTCGGTCCCGATGACGATGGGGTGGTCGAACCGGCGGTAGACATCTACAATATCCTGGAGGGTGCAGCCGGGCACGAGGAGGATATCTTCGGCATGCGTCCAGATGACGAGACGGTTGTTGGCAGGTTGAGCAGGTAGTCGTGGAGCTGCCGGAAGTTGTGGCCGTCGCCTCGGTATCGCTGCCCATACCCCAGGACAGTAAAGGTCACGCCCAGATTGCGGGCCGTCTGGGCGAGCCGATTGAGGGACGGATGGCAGCGCGAGGCCTGCACAATCCACTCGACACCACAGTCTTCGACATCCTGGCACGAGATCAGCGACGACAGATTGTGGCGGGTGGGATCGCTGTAGGAGACCGGCCAGGTCGTGAGATCGACGCGGGCTTCCTCAACGAGCTTGGAGCAGGGCTCGACGTCCGAGACGCCTCCCTGGACAAAGGTCGAGAACGTCATTGCGGACTGGTACCCGAGACACACGGGATCCAGGAGGAGCGACTTGGGCCGCAGATGGTGCTCCGTGAACCGGTAGACGTCGGCATTCCATAGCGACCAGAGCATAAAAAGCAGCGCCAAGAACGAAGCGAGCCCGAGAGGCCTCCGGAGGAGAATCCACAGGCGCATCAGCGGCGACGAGGGCTTGCGGCGCAGATCGTCAGCGCTCTCGAACAGCGACACAACCAGAAGCCAGAGCCGATGGCCAATGCTGCCGGGACGGCGCGAGTGGTGGCCTGGCGACGCCGAGACTCGTCTGCGATGCGATCGCGGAAAGCTCGGGGCGCTTCTCCATTGGGGCGAGACGGCAGTGGGTAGAATTGGAGACGTTGACCGGAGCGACATGCGGCAGGAATCAGGACAGAGGGCGGATCGTTGGGTGGGGAGAGTGCTTGGCAGATGAAAGACGAATCGCCGCAGACGACGTGGCGGGAGCAGCTTGGAGGAGGATGGCCGAGGCGAGGCGAAGCGTGAAAGGACCTGAGACTGCGAGCGGATGCGACAGCGACGGGGCTTGGATTGCGGCAAGTTGATGTCCAAGTGCGAGCAGGTCGATGTCCAAGTGCGAGCAAGTCGAGCAAGTCGAGCGGATCGATGCGCAAGCGCAGAGTGGATGTCGGTGGCAGCGGCTTGTTTGTTTGCAGGCTCGGATCGCAGGCCGGCGGTGTCGAGAGCAGAATCCTGGGTGGAATCCTTGCGTTCAATCCTTGCGTTGAATCCTTGCGTTGAATCCTGGACGTCGTCCGCGAGCCCGTATTTGTTGCGCCGCCCGCGGACGTGCTGCTGCGCGCAGTGATCTGTGTGCGCAGCGGGCTGGCGCAACACCGCCGCCCCGGAAAAGGAAATCCGGCGCGGCGTGCAACCACCGGCGCGACAGCACGCGAGCAGACGCCCAACAAAGGCACCTCCACCGGGATCTGGACCGGCCGTGCTGGCGGTGGCCTGTGAGAAACGATGGACAGCGCATCGGAGAGACGATGGGGGCACACCACTTCTCTCGGGCACAGGCACGGTGTATATTCAGACATCCGTCCGGCTGGCGCGCCGAGCACACGGCCCCGTCGAGCTCAGTCAAACATCGCCATGAGATCATCGACGTTCATCTTGGAGTCGCCCGCGTTGGTCACCGCGCCCGCAAGTTCGCTCTTGCGCTTCTGGATGGCCAAGATCTTTTCTTCCACGGTGCTCTCGACAATGTATCGGACAACGACGACAGGCCGGGTCTGTCCGAGTCTGTGGCAGCGGTCGATGGCTCTGCGGCAACAGAGGCGGGTTCAGGTCAGTTCGGGTGGTGTGCTTGTCGATGGTGGAAGTGTTTGCACGGCATGGATGCTCCCACGCTGCATTGCCGCGATGCTTACTGGTTCTCGACGCTTTCGTTCCACCACGGATCGACTAGGAACACTCGCGAAGCCACCGTCAGGTTGAGTCCAACACCCGAGGATCGCAGACTGGCAAGCAGGACAGTGACGCTGTCGTTGGTCTTGAATTCCTTCAGCACCGACTCCCTTGTTGAGAACAACCAAGATCAGCATCGCCATGTCCGCGCTTCGTCGGCAAAATGCAATCGCAAGTCCTTGGCCAACCAAGATCCTTCGCCCACCTCTGCTTCTGCGACAGAGAGCCGTCGAGTCTGACGACGGAATATCCATGTTCCACAAGCGATGTCTGGATCAGATCGAGCATGCTTGTAAACTGGGAAAACACAATCGTCTTTTCGCAGCCGTCGTCGCGGATCCGCTGGAGATCCTCAAGGAGCGCAATCAACTTGGCAGAGGTTTTGAGGCCGTTGCTCGGAGTGGTCTCGACCGGATTGTCAAGACGCTCGTCGGTGCTTTCTTTGGTTTCCGATGCATCGAGACTCAGGGTGGCCTGCACAAGCTGCGAGATCTGGTCTCCGCTGTATACTCGACGGCATACAGGGCTGTTTGCGGCGGACACGGACACGGACGCCAGACAGCCGGTACATGGCAGCAGTGTGGTAGTGTGCCACAGAGATCGATAATGTGGTTGGGTGTCATCAAAGATGTTGGCATGGGTACGAGGATGGCGGCACAGTTCAAGTGGCTCAACAATGCAGCTCGGACTACGATCAACAGATGCCCACGCCAATGCGTCGGCAGATCATCAAATCGGAAATCTACAGACCAGTCCACCTCCTCTCCGTGGGCTTGCTTGGCCTGGATATAGTCTTCGATGCATGTGCGGCACACAATGTGGAGGCAAGGAAGGATAGTTGCCACCGCTATGGTGTCCAGGCAAATCTGGCCGGACCAACACCGAGGCACGCAGAGTTTTCATCCCAGCAGCCCAAAGGAACGACGCCGAGGATATCGAGTCAGATCAAGCAAAAGTCGAGCCACGGGGTGCCCAGCGTCACCAAAGCAAACTGAGTTGCCATATCAACGACCGACCGCTTCCATCTCGGCACATACCGGACATTCTTGCTCCTCTTGGCGCTCGAGTGCCTTGGTCACTTCTTCGCCAAAGGTCTCGCCGCCACCGCCGCCGTCTCGGTAGTAGTTCGAGAGAAGCTGCTGCAGCGATTCGGTATTCAGCTGCATCGGCTCGACATCGCTCCCGACACCGCCTTGTCCATCAGCTTCGCCAAGATTCCGCAAAAAGTTTCGCAGCAGCAGCGGATGATCGCACATTTGACGAAGCCTAGATGAGAGATGCTGCGGCGTCAATGCCGAAGAGAAACCAAGCCAGCCAGTGGCGAAACGGCGTCGCACCCACTGTGTAGTGTCGGCACCCACCTCAGCAGTAGCTGGAAGACAAAGTGATAGTTCAGCCGGCCCGATATTCTTAGTGAGCACAGCCGATGCTTGAATGCCTGTGGTGCGATGGAGCGTGAGAACTCGGCCCCATTGCTGGGAGGCGTATTAGCGGCAAAAGCCAGGCTTTGGTAGATGTACCATGTGGAGATCATCATATATCCGTCTCTCGTCGTCCGAAAAGGCAAGGCGCTTGATGTGGCATGTCTTGGGCGGCATCGATACGATTGCTTTGCCGTTGATCTCCATGTTCTTGGTGCGCCGCAAGAGAATTGGCTCGAGGATTGTCTGGATAGTCTCCAGAGCCTTGGACTGCTTCAGAGCAAATGGAGCGGAGATGTGTGTTCTCCAAAACGACCACTGACACCAAGGCTCGAGTCGCAGAAAGTGCACGAGCGAAAACAAGTCTCTGTGCCAAATACATATCCAGCATGGTTACTGCGACGCGCTTTGGATGGACAGTGTCGATAGAGTGTGCGGCCGACGAACACCACGATGCGGCGCAGACTTACTCCAACTTATTGACGATCGGTGTTCCCGTGATTGCCCACCGATTGATGCCTGAGAGCATGTGGCACGCTTTTGCCATTTTGGTCGATCGCTCCCGGATATAATGTGCCTCGTCTGCGCGGCCGTTGGGGACCGTGATGATCTCGCTTTTAGTCTGCCAGCCCTGGTCGACTGAATTGAGTCCATCCGCCTGTGCTTTTGCAAGAAAATGGCCAGCAACATACCCAGGACGATTCGGAACCAGACAGTAGAGTACAGAGGTGAGGTACCTCGGTCGATTTCGCTCGATAGCGTTCCATATGTCGTTAGACTGTCGCAGACAAGAGGGTGAGCAGTGCAAGAGCGAGCTTCCTTCGTTTCGATCAGCCAGCATGTGTGGGATTGGTCTGGTCGAGTCACTCCTGGGATTCGCGACACGAGACCCTTGGCTACATGCAATGTGTTTCAGCACGCACTTCTACCCCATCTCCATCTCCATCTCCTCTCGACTGTTCCATTCGGTCAGTCTCTGTGCTGCATCATCAACTTACACCACCAGTGGCCATGAGTGTGTACCGAGTTTCCGCTCATTGCCATAATATACCATCACATCGCCAGCTGAGCCAAGGCAACGCTCAATCTCGTCGCGCCATTGAGCAAGGACGTTCAAAGGACAGACAACCAGCGTGGCAGGCGAGTGGCTGGATTCCGAGCGTTGCTTCCCTGCGCGGTTGGAGTGAATGAGGGATATGATCTGCAGGGTAATGCAAGGATGAGAAAGGTGCTCCAATCCAGTCTCGAGGCCGATGTCAATATTCCTTACCTCGATCGTTTTCCCGAGTCCCATTTCATCTTTCAGGGGGATACAAGCGAGGTTGCCATGAGCCAACAGGCCAGTTTCAGATCATGTATCTTGACCAAAGTAAAATCGACCGCATCTCCGAGGCACAGTCAACCTTTGACGACAGCGTTTGAGCCCCGGAGGAGTGCAGTGCGTGGCAGTCCGCGTCGCTCTCACCAGCCAGGATGCCGCCATGGCAGGGCTTCTCTACGGGCCGTGTCAGCGAAAGCTCGCCTGGATAAGGAATGCTGAGTGAGCAACGCAGCAGTGATCTACGTGCGGTGCTCAGGACCAAGACATACCTGAATGGGGCGCAAAGTAGAACTTGTTGTCGCAGTCGAAGAAAGCAAGCTGAAACCGAGTGCAGAATTAGAAGATGTCGATGCGTCGTGGGTGGAGCAATCTCCGCGATGAAGCGGTTGGTGAATCGGGTGCACCGTTTAGACATGATACCATATGCGCGCTGAAACCCTGCTGATACCATTTACCTCCTTCCAAAGTGGTGATAAGCTCTGTGCCGAGCGGGACTCGTGCCCGTCGTCAGGCTGATCAATCTCGGCTCCATGTTGCTCTTTTTTCAAAAGGAACGACAACGCCTGTGTGTTTGTACGGTGTTCGTGGTGAGTACCACCTCGATGTGGGGCAGGGAGCGGGTGGTCTATAGCAACGTGTCTCCGAAAGGAGTCGATAGTGCTAACCTGCTTTTGATAGGACCTGAGCGTGACAGTCATGCCTTTGGCAGGTTCGGTTTCGTCGAGAAGGGCTTCGAATCGCTCTGCTTTCTCGTATATCTGGCGCAGCTCAGTGTCGCTCATGACTGCGTCTGGCCCAGGGTGTGACCCCGTTGTCGCCGAGCCGCTTGATGACGCGGTGCCAAGATGGCCGAGTCTTTCCAAGAGCACCCTGAGACAGTCCCTCCGCTCTTCTGCCTGCTTTTCGACTTCCTCGGTACTCATTTTTGCGTACACCGACGGTGGGACGGCCGAAAATGCCCTGTCTTTGAAGTAAACCTGGATGAGTGAATGAATCAACAAGTAAGTGGGAGGCTCGGCTATCCCAAGGTGCATGTGAGAGACTCCGAGCAGCGTATGGAACCAATGCTGGATGAACTGGCGGACCTTCATGCTCACGATGATTTCGTCTGTGACGTTCAAGTCCATCGGTGGAGCGACGGCAGTTGCTGTAAAGTGACACTGGAACAGGAGGGAAGCCTGTGAGCGTCAGAGTGCGCACGCCTGACTCTTTGCCGGCTTGCTTCATCTTCGAACCAGGGACATTACCACATCCAAATCGATCAGTCGGCTCACAAAGTAGCCGTAGTCGGAATGAAGCTTGGCGATCTCTCTTCCGCTGGAAGCATGGATCAGGCGCACGATCGTGTTTCCCTTGGAACCAAGGGAGAATGAAGAGCTGCCAGAGAGGTTGAACCCGCCTGTCTTGCGCTTCTTTGCGACGGGTCCTGTCATTTTGGGTCTCTCGACCGTCAGCAGGTCACCGTCGAGCAAGAGTCCACGGCCCCGAGTTGTCGACAGGGCAATCGCAATGACCTCGCCGATCTGGGCTGGGAACTGGATGAGTGTGTGTGGTTCGGCTTCGGCTTCGGTTTCGGCTTCGACTGGGACCTTGGACGGCTTTGTTCGAGCGTTGACCTTGGCTTGAGTCAGCTTCCTCTGCGACTGCAAAGTGCTTGGCGGGGACTGTGGCGGGCTGGCGTGCAGCATCGGTGTCTGGGCATGCTGCAGCAGGATCGGATGGGATGTTGCTGCCGCTGTGGCCGCCCTTGCATCGTCCGTCAGATAAAAGTTGGCTGCCTGGGAGACATCGCCGTTTGCTGCAGCCAGGTAATGCAGCAGCTTATCGTCGGATGCACCGACGAGAACAGACTTGAGAATCTCCAGCTGCGCAAAGTGCGGATGAGATTGGGGTCGGTTGTCTTTGCTGGGTTCCTCGATCGCCTCCGGATTCTGGAGAGCGCGCGCTGGCTGGATGGCACTCCGGGTATCGTTTAGAGCATTGCTGGGAATGTCGTCGCCTTCGCTGTCGCTGCTGCCGTCCAGCAGGACCACATGCTCGGAGCTCATGCGGCAGATTGCGGCTTTGGTACTGCTCGTTTGGTTGCGATGCTTCTGGAGTCTAGATTCAGACAGACGCGATCCCAAAACCTGCAAGGGGCGCAGACAGATCAAGGCGGTGTCCCGGAGAGTCAGATTCCCTCCAGGTGCAGCCAGCTGCGTCTGTCTGCCCCACGTCGGTTGTCAACTCACCTCGGTGCCAGCGGCCTCTGCCAGATGCGCTGGTGCGGTGCGGTGTTCTGGCATCGGCGGTGCGATTTCATGGGCATTCCCATTTCCAGCAAAATGGCCCGCTGGCTGGATCCGCCCTCGACCCGCCCTCGATCTGCGCACATGACCAGGGCCTGGCTTGCCTTTTCGTGGCCAGCATCGCCAGCAGCCCAGCCAGCACCATCGATCGGATCGTTCAAGCACACGTCGCCGCCATGGTGAGGAGATGAGCGAGCTCGCAGGCCCGCGGATCGCTGGGGGTGGGGTGGGGTGGGGTGGAGCGTCGGATGCGCCATCGTACTCGTCGCTGCTGTTCTGATGGCTCTCAGCAGGCGGTGTGGTCTGCAGCGCTGGCTTTGCATCCCGATCAGACGGCTGTCGTCACTGGCTGCTCTGGGCACCAGCGCACATTCTGACTCCCAGCGCTCTATTCCTGCGGCCCTCCGCGAGACAGCTCTTCTACTCGTTCTTCAAGACCCTGGTTGGTCAGCCCGTGACGATCGAGCTCAAGAACGACCTGCAGATCCGAGGCGTTTTGGTCTCCGTCGACCAGTTCCTCAACATCAAGCTCGACGACATCAAGGTCATTGACGAGCAAAAGTTCCCGCACATGGTACGAGATTCGAGGCAACGAACCGATCGCCAGTGTTGGTCCATAGTGCCCTTGGAGCTGTGATGCCAGGGCCGCCCCGAGCCGGAGGGACCTCCCTGCTCATGCGAGTTTGATGGCTTGATAACCCAACCACCTGTCTTCACGATCTGCCCCAATGAACCAAACCGGACCACGATCGAATACGAACACGGAATCACATCTGGATCATGCGATATTTATGGCCATCGCCTGCTCCGCAATCTTCGGCTCGCAACAACGTCCAATGCTGCGGCTTTCCACCAACATCCAACCACGATGCTCGTGACTGCTGCCGAACCTGTGCCTCGATCTCCATGCATCCACTGTGGCATTCTCTCCTGTTTGCCGCCGTATCGCTTTGTTCTGGCCGACCATGGTCACCTCATTCCACCGATGATCCTGATCTGGCGACATCAGGCCTCCGTCCGAAACTGCTTCATCCGCGGATCGGTCGTGCGATACGTGCAGCTTCCTTCTCCCTCAGTCGATACCGCGCTTTTGCAGGACGCCACCCGACGAGAAGCAGTTCAGCCTCGATAAGCACCGACGGCATCCGGGACTTGTGCCTCTCCGTCCATGCCGTTGGCCCTGCGCGGCCGCTTGTACACACCCAGCAAGGAGAGAAAGGAGGAACAGCGATCCCTCGTCCTTTATTCTTCAGTCGCCGCCTCGAGCAGTTCGAAGGAAGGACTAAACAAACTGCAGGCTGACGTCGTGTGGATGGATCAATAGTTTCACTGGCGCCTGGGAAGCGATAAAAGGCATGTCGTGTTTGGCAAATGCCGCTTCTGAATATACACTTTGCATGGAGCTGTCCAGATGATCGATTGCGTTGCCCCGTGCCCCGCATCGCGATATCAAAGCCTCACGGATGTTTTGCTGAATGAAGCGTAAACCGTATATTTACAAGCAGGCGTATCGAGCATGCAGCATCATTCGCCACCGCAAAGAAACACTACAAAATACAAATTAGAATGGGTTGTCAAAAAGCAGGGCCAGCAGAGGGTCCCTTGAGTACATACAAAACAATGGCTCGGTCAGCGCCAATTCCCGTCGGCATCTGCAGCAAGTCATCGGCCCCAGGATCGCCCGGCAGGATAGTGGCCGCCGCCGTCGTCGTCGTCGTCGTTGTCCAAGTATCGTTGCAGCTGAGGCCTTCAAAGTTGACGGTCGAATGTAACTGCTGTCAGTTGAGTTCAGCGGACACAGCGGACATAGCGGGGATGTGCACATGTGGCAAGATTGGCCCGACGATGGCTTGATCAACAAGGCTCCAGCATCAAGACGGTTTGGCGAGGCAGCAGTAGCAGAAGCGGTTGTCAGAGAGACAATCTAGAGCTGAGTGGCAGTGAACGAAAAAAAGCGGCAGTGTGAGCACCATGGTCCCTCGGTCCACTCAGCAGTCTACAGCTCCGAGCCGCCACACGATTCATACCTGTGTAGCCTGAACAACCGCCGGGGATGGGGTCCCGACGGCTGCCTCTTCTCCGACCAACTGCAAGGCCTGTGCTTGGACCTGGGCTTGCGTTTGCCCATGGACTTGGGCTTGAGCATGTGCATGCGCTTGCGCCTGGGTTTTGAATTGGGCAAAGAGACTGGAGGTGGTGTTTTGCAAGCTTGGGTGAGCCTGCGGTGCTACCGAGGACTGCAGCTGAAGTATCGAGGGGTTGAGTGCCGATCCGTTCGCCTGGAGCTGGTTTTGGAGCTGGAACTGGAGCTGAAGCTGTTTCAATTGGAGCTGCAGTGCCTGTGCCTGCGCCGTTGGTAAACTTGATGTCTGGGTTGCATATTGGCCGTTGCCCAGGGTCGATCCGCTGAAATTGGATGTGTGCGCCGAGTTGGAGAGCGCTTGCAAGGCAAACGCTATGGGCCCTGCTTCCTGGCCAGATGAAGTGATCGAATGCGCTGCCGTGGCCATGGGTGCGCGCATTGACGGGGTGGGTGACGGTTTAGGAGACGACATTTGAGCCTTGGCTGGGACACTGGAGGCAAACGCAGCGATGCCATGGGCCAAACTAGAGACCGAAGTCTGGGCGCCACTCGTTGTAAGGAGTGAACAAGCGCAAGGACGAAGACCAAGTGCTTGGTATGAGCTTTATTAGCTTTTAGCCCCGAACACCAAAGAACAAGTTTTGTTCGAACTGGTGTTCAACATAGGCTCAGACATGCAGGGCTATTTATAGACCGGGAGGAGGTCGAGGGGCAAAAGTGGGCGAGAAGGGTGGAGCATCACAGAGAAGCGAGAAGGGGGTGCGAGAGTGGCTGGTGTGCAAGCGAGAGAGGCTTGGCACAGCCCGGGGACATGTGCCGAGCGGTGGGGGAGGCAGGAAACCAGTAGACGCGGGTGGCAACGGCGCGTGCTCATGCATGGGGGCAAACAAACACGTGGGGACTCATGATTGGTGCGGAGGGCGAGAGCATGCGGGACAATCTCATTGGTCCGTTGTGATGCTGGTCATCACACTATCTCCTCCTCAAACTACGGCGTGTTCCATCTTGAGTTCTCCTGGGGCCAGGCTTGTCTGGGTAGCGTCGGTGGTACTCCGCGGCCACCGTTGGGGCAAAGACAATGTCGGCGGGCTCCCAACTTCGATCGGTGACCGGGTAGCCTTTCCAATCGATGAGATAGTGCAGCTTTCCGCGCACGAACTTGGAGTCTAAGATCTCTTCGACCTCCCACTCCAAGTTCCCATCGATGACCACCGCAGGGGGCGGCGCTTGCACCCGACCCGGAAGCGAGTTCTTCTTGTAGGGCTCAAGAAGAGACACATGGAACACCGGGTGCACCTTTATGTCCTTTGGCAAGTCCAGGCGGAAAGCCAATGTCCCGACGGCCTCGAGGATGGTGAATGGTCCAATCCTCTGGTAATCCAGCTTCTTGCTTGGGCGAGTGGTGCTGATGTTACGAGTCAGCACCCAGACTTGATCGCCCGGACGCAAGTCGGGAGCCTGGGACCTCCGGAGATCTGAGAAGTGCTTGTAGTCAGACTTTGCCTTCTCAAGATTCTCCTTCAACAGTGCCAGGTTCCGCTGGAGATGTTCAACCCTCTCCGTGGCAGAGGGAACATCAGGGCCGCCAGCGACAACGGGGACTTCGAACCTTGGGTGGAACCCATAGGTTGCCAAGAATGGCGAGGCATGTGTTGACGAGTTCTCGAGGTTATTGTAAGAGAACTCGGCCAACGGCAGCAGCTCGGCCCAGTCATCTTGCTGATACGACGTGTAACAGCGCAGGTATTGGTTGATGACCTGGTTGACCCTCTCAGTCTGTCCATCGGTCTGGGGATGGAAGGCCGTGGACAGACTGGTTTGGATCCCGAGCTGCGTGCAGAGTGCCTTCCAGAACCGAGAGGTGAACTGACTTCCTCGGTCTGAAACCACTGTGTCGGGGAGGCCATGGAGACGAAAGACATTATCGAGGAACAGTGACGCAGTCTCCTCCGCCGACGGCAGTGAACGCCAGGACATAAAGTGTGCCATCTTTGTGAGGCTGCATACCACCACAAAGATGCAGGTGTGACCCTTGGACTTTGGCAGATCAGTGATAAAGTCCATGGTCAGTGTCCCCCAGGGTCGATCGGCTGTCTGGAGTGGCAACAGGAACCCAAACGGCTTGTGTCGCGGAGCTTTCGAGCGTGCACAGGTGTCGCACGTCGAGACGTACTCTTTGACATCTTTCCGATAGGTTTGCCACCAAAACTGTCGCGATACCAGAGCCAGAGTCCGTCGGATGCCTGGATGACCCACAGCGACTGGGTCATGGCACGACTTGAGCGCCGGAACTCGGCACGACTCTGGGACCACAATCCTGTTCTGGAAGGTGAGGTACTGGCCATTCCAGACGAACTTCGGGTCACGACGGTATTTGTCTAGACCGGGATCCCGAGCCTGCTCTTCGGCTATGAGCTGCAGCAAGTCCACAGGGTCACTGCGACTTGCAACCGAAGAGCGGGCGTCTCTGCTTCGCAGCACGCGTATCACCGCGGCAGGATCGAGAAGCAGAGGCGGATCCCTCGACACGGAGGCCGACGAAGGGATGTAGTCCGAGCGACGAGACAGGGCATCGGCCTTGCCGTTCCTCGCACCAGGACGGTACTGGATGCGGATGTCGAACCGAGACAAGAACTGGGACCACCGTGCATGACGCTGGTTTAGGATGCGAGCCGTTGCCAGGTACTCCAAGTTCTTGTGGTCGGTCAGAACGGCAACGGGATGCTGGGCGCCTTCGAGGTAGTGTCGCCACGCCTCGAAAGCCTCCTTGATCGCCAACAGCTCTTTCTCGTATATGCTGTAGTTACGTTCAGCATTCGAGAGTGTCCGCGAATGGAACGAGCAAGGATGAAGGCGATCATCAGCACCCCGCTGGGAGAGCACGCATCCAAGCGCAAAGTCCGACGCATCTGACTCTACGACGAACGGCTTGGATGGGTCCGGATGCACCAGAACGGGCTCCGAAACGAAGGCATCCTTCAAGGATCTGAATGCTTTATCGGCTTCGCGGGACCACTGGAAGCCATGCGTCTTCCGGAAGAGCCGAGTCATGGGCCCCGCGATCTTTGCGTATCCATCGATGAAGCGTCGATAGAAGTTCGCAAACCCGACAAAGGATCGAAGATCCGAGATGTTGTGCGGTATGGGCCAATCCAAGATCGCAGAGAGCTTGGATCGCTCCATACCGATGCCCTCGGGCGAGACCATGAAACCAAGGAACGAGACCGAGGTTTTGGAGAACTCGCACTTCTCCAGCTTGCAATACAGCTTTGCAGCTCGGAGCTTCGAGAGGACCTGCTTGACGTGCTCTACATGCTGCGACGGATCAGCACTGTAGATCAAGATATCGTCAAGATACGCAATTGCGAACTGGTCCAACTCGGTGCGCAGGACGTCGTTGATGAAGTGCTGGAACGTCGCTGGCGCGTTGGTGAGCCCAAAGGGCATCACCAAGTACTCGAAGTGCCCATATCGAGTACGGAAAGCTGTCTTCCACTCGTCCCCGGAGCGGATGCGCAGCAGATTGTAGGCTCCACGAAGGTCCAGCTTAGTGAACACCTTCGCGCCTCGAAGTCGGTCCAGCAGCTCGCCGATCAGCGGTAAAGGGTAACGGTTCTTTACCGTGATACCGTTCAGTGCGCGGTAGTCAACGCAAAGACGAAGTGAGCCGTCCTTCTTCTTGACGAAGAGGATTGGTGAGCCTGCTGGGGACGACGAAGGACGAACGAATCCCTTGGCAAGATTCTCGTCGAGATAGTCACGCAGAGCGTGAAGCTCGGGCTCGGACAGTGAGTACAGAGGCCCGAACTTTGGCGACTTGCCCGGCTCCAAGTCAATGGGGCAGTCGTAAGGGCGATGCGGAGGCAAGGAGTCAGCTTCCTGTTTAGAGAAAACAGACAGGAAGTCCTTGTACTCCGCAGGCACTTCGACAGTCGCAGTGCTCGGCTCGTCAGTGGGCAGGACATGGACCTGAAAGATGGTCAGGGGTTGCGTTCCATGCCTGCATGCATCCAAAGACTCGCGCATCGAGCGGTAATCAATGCTGCAGACGCGGAGAGGAGCGTCCGAGCTGAGAGGAGGGGCGTGGACAAGGTCAGAATAATGTTCGACGGTTACTTTATTCTGAACAATGTCCGAAGAACAAACAACAGGAGGAGGTACATCAAGGAGGGAAAGAGAACTGACAGCAGGAGAAGGGGTTTGGGAAGAGCGAAGGGGTTCGGGAGGAACAAGACAAGAAGGGGAAGACGAAGGTGGGAGCGTAGGAGAGGAGCTTAGATCAATCAAAGGAGTGGAATCATCAAGAAGGGGAGTGACATTGGAGGAAGTGGAGCAAGACGAAAGAGAAGTAGTGCATGGAGAGGGGTCGGAATCAACAGAAGGAGGGAGACAAAGAAGACCGCGAGACCAGACAATCTTGGGCTCGGCGGTGCGCAACCAAGGAAAGCCAAGGATAAGTGGTTGATGTGGAGACCTGATCACATCGAACCGAAGGCGTTGCGAGACGTCCCCGAGAATCACCTCGAGTGGAGCAGTCTCGCGGAGGATGGGGCCAGACGACAGCGGCTTACCATCCACGCCTTCCACTGCCAAGGGCGAAGCCTTGGAGCAGGTGGGGACAGAGTGTCGAGTAACAAAGTCCTCGTCGATAAAGTTGCCAGAGGCACCAGAATCGACAAGTCCTTCGCACGACAGAGAATCACCAGAAGGAAGACGAACAGCGACGGAAACAACCAACGAGCAACGACGAACAGACGAAACACAAGACTTTGGTTCGGTACCAGCTTCGGCACCAGGGTTGCGGCTAGCACAGACAGTTAACTTTGCCGAGGGTTGGCAGGACAGCTCAGGTATTTGCACCTGTGGATGAGGTGCAGTTCCCAGTGACACCAGAGGTGCCACGGGTACTATGCCAGAGCTGAGAGTGTCCGCCGGTCCAGAGGCAAGGCGAAGCTGTCCGCACATCACTGCTTCCCCAGTACTTACCAAAGGCACCTTACCAATGTCTTCACTTTCGGAAGGCGGTGGGCACGGCTCCGGTTCAAGGCCTTCACTTAGAACCGGGCCTGGTCGTTTCCCGAACTGAAGTCTTGCACTTCTCCATCCTCGTAAACGATGGTGCGGATGATCCTCGGGCCGGGAGGTCCAGGGGGCGGTCCGGTAGCTCTGGTAAATCCAAACTTGACGGGGCAGTTTCGTACCAAGTGGCCCTTCTTGCCACAGTACAGGCAGAGTCCAAAGCGGCGGCGGCGTTGTTTCTCCTCGGCGGTCAGGGGTCCAGAGACGGCAGAGTCCACTTGCATGGGCTCGGAAACAATGTAGGAGGGGTGCGGCGGAGCGAGGACTGGCGCGGGAGCGATGGCGGGAACGGCAGCGGAGGCGGAACCAAAGGCGAACTGGGAAGACCGGTAGCGGGCAGGCGTGCTTCGGCGCTCTTGACGGCGCTCGCGGATTCGTGCATCGAGCTCGTTACAAAGCTCAATGTACTCCTCCAGATCTCGTGGCAGAGGGCGAACTCGCGAAAGTTCGTCTCTGACATCATCCGACAAGCCAAGTCGGAAGAACGAGATCTTTGCACCGTCGTTCCAAGTCGTATCGGCGGCAATACGAAGGAACTCGGATGCATAGACTGCGCACGG